TAAACGCAAATTACAATAATGTGTGTTTGGAAGAAATAAATCAAAAGTAACACATATATGACAAAACTACCAAAATGGTTTTAATTTAAAGCTTGTTGCTAATCGGTGATGTCTAAACACAACCTGCTGCCTGAATGCTGTAGGGTCGTTCCACCGTCACAAGCCTTCAGCTCCTCCATGATCATGTTTAGTTCCTCTGCGCTTCTGACCGTGAATTCCAGTTTGTGACCGTGGGAGGCGGCGCCGAGAACCTGACTCAACACCGACACCTGACCGCTGCCTGATGCGACAAAGAAAAAAAGCAGTGGGGATGAAATGAAGGTCAGTGAATAAGCATCATGTTCATATCTAATGATTTAAGTGCGAGCATCACATTTTACATTCAGAGAGACTTCTCACCAAGTCCTCCAACCAGCCAGTCGTTCACGCCTCCTTTCACGCAATCCCATGAAGTGTGAGGGGAAAAGACCGCTATGCCGGCCTCCACGGCCCGCACAGCCAGCCGCTGCTTCCAGTCTTTCTGAACCAGACGCTTGATTGGCCGAAACAACGGCGGGTGATACGAAATAATGAGATCGCAGCTCACAGCCACTGCTTCCTCCATGACGGCATCTGTGAGGTCGTTGGTTAGCAGAATGGTCTTAACGGGCCGAGGTTTGCTCGGCTCCACCAGCAAGCCGACATTATCCCAAGACTCGGCAAGCGACAGTGGAGCAAGCTGCTCCAAAACCTGCAGAACTTCCTTTAATTCCATCAGACCGGACGAATGAGCTGAGGAGAAATTAACAGACGGAGGAAGGCGAGCTGAGCTTTGTCTGCTAGGCAGGATGTGATGACTGTGGGTAGATGAAGGAAGAGAATGAAGGACGGATGAAAAGGCTGAAGAGCACAGAGCAGCTCGGGACTTAAAACTCTGTCTAGTCCAAAGCCTTCTACTGGTGAGCGAGAAAAATGTCCAAGAGGGATTTCTACATCCAGTCAACATCAGGGGAGATCTGTGTGGACAAAAAGAAATAACTAAATCATCATAAATGTCAGACATTCACAGATTCATATGTGACTGCAGGTTTTTGTACAAGACAAACTAACAACTGCTGAGCTATCATCTTCTTCGTTCCACTGTCCTCTTTAGGCGTTCACCACAGTGGATCATCTGCCTCCATCTCACCCTATCTCTAAAATCCTCATCTACATGACCTCCTTCACTACATCCATGAATCTTCTCTGTGGTCTTCCTCTTCTCCTACTGCCTGGCAGCTGCATCTTCTATATTTTTTGTCTAATATATCTACATATGTACCTCCGCTTCTGGCAGCTTCACTATCACACAGTGTTCTTCTTAATCTAGCTTCAAAAACTTTTTCTCACGTCTTCTTTATCCCTCTGTGTCCCTCTTTGTAATCTCTATACCTCCACAGGTAGGCCATGGGGATTCTACCGATTTCCTCTTCAACTTATTAGATGTCCTGTCTATGCTGAGCCTATTCTCAGTCCCAGCCTGTCCTGCTCACACTGACAGCTTCAGATCTCACATGCACTGAATGTCTGACATTTTTAAAGGGAAAATTAACTTAAATAATTAGATTAATTAACTTAATCCAGTGATCGGTTTTGTATGGTTTTATACGCATTTCCACCTATCCATTTCCATTTCCACATGTTGTTTCTGCCTCGCTTAAAGACTCCATCCAAAGTTAAACACTAATCAGAACAGTTAGCAACAAATGCAAACAGACGGCTACAACTCTTAAGCGTACATTTTTTTAGTCCGGAGATAATCATTTAGTAAAAGCCACATACCTGCACTTTATGATTATTATAAACTTTATTTATAGACTTAAAACCAGCAGCTGTGAGTTGTGACAGCTGCCAAGCGTGCAGCTAACAGCAGAGCTAGTTAGCTGCCATTAGCTGCCACAGTAAACCGTCCTTTAACGTCAACACACCAGCATGTAATTACATGCACGACTCAACTTACCGTCGCTTGTTTCTGACGGATGAAAACTAATAACGCTAGGGTTTTCAGTTTTTAGCTAAATATATTCTGGTGTAGTGGCAGAGGCTGTACTTACTGCAGAACTGGCAAGATGTCCCTTTTCGGCTTCCGTCCGCAACAATTTTTTTTTTTTACTTAATGAATGACTTTATTTATTTATTTATTTATTTATTTATTTATTTATGGGGTCAAGTTATGTCTTTCGTCTTGACCATGAGGACATATACATATAACTTATAAACTAAGTAGTATAAATTATTTATAGTAAGTATTATAAAGTAAGTTTTATTTAACATATATGGTTACTTTCTTCTTCTTTTTTATTTATCACCCAAAAACTGGCCATCGAGCCATCGACACAGAAACTACAACTTAAATATAGAAAGGACTGAGCGCATGTGCAACAATACAAAGAGGAAAATAGAGAATAACAATGAATGATATTAACATAATTACAAGTGATATTAATTCAGCCCAAATGAAATAAATAAATTTAAAAAAAAAAATAGAAACAGAGCTTTGTAATTTTTCTTTTTTTTTTTTTTTTTTTTACTTTTTAAAGTTTCACATATCCTTCATAAAATTTGGAGAAAGGTGGTTTTAATATTTAGGAATCTGCATCGATGAATAAAATAAACAGTATTATCAAGACTTTGTTGAACTCCAGCTTGGGAAAATTTGGTTATATATTTGGTTTGGTTCGGATTTTGTGGGAAAGAGTGACTGGTGTACGTTTTACTCCCCTTTTTATTGTCCTCTGTTTGGCACTTGTGTACATCTCTTCTATAATTGGTTTCAGTGCTGCAGAGATTGTCGGATGCTGATAGAAAAGACCTCCTGTGTCATCTTTAGTTCACCCCCAGGTCTTATTGGTCTACACCTAAAGGCGCTCTGGTGTGACTCTGATGCAAGATTAGAGGCCGTGTCCTTTATGCTGACAAGTTTCCTCAGCACTGAGAGGACAGAAGGTGATTTCCTTAAGACGGTCTTAAGGAAATCAGCTGTGGTGTCCAAGTACGCTTCAGCATAAAAAAATATGACGCTGGCCACCAAAGAGTAAGAAAACAACAGACGCATTGAAAGATTCACAAGTGGCTCACTGTTCAGCTACAGTATTCATTTAAAGGAACACAACTTGTGCACATTTTTCAAACAGAGGCCAAAAGGAAGTTAATTAGCTGAAGGTGAAGCAGCTTACTGATCTCTTTATTACAGGTCGCACATCAGCAAGACTGAGACGCACAGAATTCCCTCATCACTCACTTCTCCTGTCCCACTCAGTCCTTTCTTTTTCCATTAAGGTAGTGCAAATAGCAACAGATTTGTAGAAGTATTTGTAGCAGTGAAATAATGAAATAACAACATTTCATTGGTATTTAATTATTCAAATCCCAAATCTTTGGGATTTGAGCATCCTAAAGAATCAGTTAAGAAAAACAATATTTCTCAAGTCGTTACAGTTCGGCTTAGTGTTTTTCAACAACGAGCTTTCCGGAGTTTATAGCGCTGGTGTTATGCAATATTGTCTGTACTCAATGTTACAAAACAAATTCACAGATTAATGTGAGCAAGCAACAACTGAATGACTTTGATAAGCTGTATTTACTCTCACAGGGCAGGTGCTCCAGCAGCAGATACCCCGCAGTGCATCCGACTCTTCTCAGAAAGATTAAAGCTAACCAAATGAAATCTGCCTGGGGAAGGGACTATCAGTGCAATAAGTTAAAATGGTAAGGGTTGGGTTTTTTTTTATGTGTCTGGCTGAGAAGAAGTCATTGGGTATAGAGGCTACATCAGAGTTGAGTCTGAGAGCAACCAAGAGAGATTACTGAGGATTAATGCAATAAAGGTTGATGCTGGATGTTAGAGGGATCAGGAAGGATCAGGGCAAAGGCCAGCCAGTGAGCATTACATCATCGGATTCTTCCTCTGGACTCATCAACCCTCGCTTGGCACTACATACGTAAGGTTAAATGTGCCCCCCACCCTCCTCTTTAAACACCCTCACTTACATTAGTGTGCCATTAATAGCAGTGAAATCTTATCACTTTTTTTGTTTCAGTGTCTGAGTCCCAATCCACATAAAAGAACAATCATTTCAAAATAAAAGTAATAATAATAATAGTAATAAAAGACCAGATATTTTGTTACTTATCCATTAAGCATACCAGCAGAGCGAACACTCTCTCCGTGGAGCACCAGTCACAGATGTGTGTTTAGTAATTAGGTTCACTTTTGTTCATTGGCAGCATAAGTCCTCAAGCCCCATCTGTCTGTCTGTTTGATGCTGTGCCCAGTTTGTCGTGCAGCAACATCTGCCTGGCTGGTGTTCCCCAAATGTGACAGTACAGCGTGTCCCGTGGCACATCCCTGAATTCAGCCCCAATATTTAATCCCAGCCGCGCACAATGTGGATCGGTATGACACAATTACTGATCACCAACTGCAGTCCACAGTCCACAGGTAAAAAAAAAAAAGAAAGTGTTCACGTGCCTCAAATTTCACTCAACCTTTCTTTTCCTTTCTTTTTTTAATGCATATGGGGTTATAATACTCTTTAATACTTTTAAGCTCCTCTCTGTGTTTTATGTCCATATTTCCGTGAAGTTCCCAACTTACAGAGAGTATTAACCTCAAATAATGGCTCAGACTGTCTCTCTAAAAGGACACATTCTGGGACATGAACCTCTTTTTTTGTTTCGGGGGAGGGTTTTTTTGCTCTTAATACCTTTAAATCTGTTATGCATCAGTCACAAAATCCCACATTTCTGCCTCATTTCAGTGACACAGTTTCTTATTGTCCTTCCAAAGTTTTTACTCAATCCTAGTAGAGCAGACTCCCTAAACTTTTTCATGTTTAAATCATTTCTTTCTGGCGTGAAATGACTGCACATTACTGGAATGCAAGAAGTCACAAGGACAATATGTTCTACGCTTAAATGAGTCTGTGGGTTCCTTTCAGGCAGACACGTTTCTTTCTTGTTCCACAGATACTCCTGAATCCTTTTCAGATGTTCAGATCAGATGTTTTATTTTGTGCTTTGCCAAAGAAAAGGCAGATCCATGTTACTGCTTCACTTGTTGGAAGTTAGTTACAGATTACCTAATACAACCAGCTCAGGTTAATAATGTACAGTACAGTAGTGACTTAACTTTACATCCTGCTTTGTTGTAACATTGTTTAAATGGTAAGAATAATTTAATAACAATACAAATATAAAAACAATTCCATTTCAACAAACATCCACTGTATACAGTCTATATCAGGGTTGTCAAACATGAGGCCCAGGGGCCAGAGTGGGCCTGGCAAAGATTACAATCTGGTCCACGAGATGCCTTTCGAAGATATGCATACATTTTTGGACTTTTAATGTATTGTTAAGTTTTGGAGTTTTTTCCTGCTGATGAAGAAATAGAAGTTTCAGTTTTAAGTCCACAAAAAAGGTGTGAAGTAACAGGAACTTTCTGATTTTTTCTGTAATCTTACACAGTTATTTCTCACAATCTAAGCCTATGCTAAGGGTTTATTTTATTTACTAGAGCATTATTTCTTTATCATGTGAAAAAACTGAGACATACTTGGACTTCTTTTTCTTATATTAAGATATTTCAGTGATTAAATATATACTTAGACTTCTTTCCACTGCCCACTAGGATCAAAGTGAACTAAATGAGTTTGACATGCCTGGTATATATGATGAAACATAACAACGGAGTTTGGTTTTTTTTTAGCACTCTTATGCTTGAAAAATCATTACAAATTGTAATTCTTTGCATAGCTATAAAATCTGCTCTGAGATCAGTCTGATATTGCTTGTTTTGAGCATCTAATTTTAACATTTGCATGCCCAGAAAAGAACAGCATCAGTGTTAGTGCGTGTTTGTAGAGGTGCAAATGAATGTTCCTGACTGGCCTTGTCCTCGACTGTCATTGATGGGACATCATTCTGACAAATTCTGCAAAGGAGAAGAAGACGTGGATCAGTTGCTTCACTTCACTGCACTGTTACTCTTTACTGATGTAGGCGAAAGACAGTCTGTACCTTCAAAATCTACTGTGCCATCCCCGTTGTCATCGGCCTCTTTCACTATGGCATCGATTTCTCTCCGGCTCATGTGCTCTCCCATCAGCTTCATCATGGCTGATCGCAGCTCCTCCGTTGTGATCTCTCCATCTCCATCCATGTCAAACTAACAAGAGGCAGCAAACAGCAGAGAGCAGCTTTTAATCACAGCTGTGATGATAATGATCGCCATCTGGCAGTCTAGAACGCAGGTGGCTGGAAAGTTTCAGAAAAAGCTCTTTACTCTCACCTCTTTGAAGGCGTCTTTCAGCTCCTTCATACCGATCATTCCAGACGTCTCTGCCAGCAGTTTCGGGGCCATCAACTCCACAAAGTCGTCAAAGTCGACTCTGCCACCGACTAGAGGGGGAAAAAAAGTTTGACATGTCTGTGAGCTTTTCTGTCTCTCATCAAATCTAGATTAAAGCAATAAAAACAGCCGCTAACTATGGGATTCCTCAACGAATTCAACTTTTAAACAAACACTTTTTTTAAGGACTCACGGTTCATGTTGATATTTTGACTCAGCTCGATCAGCTCCATCTCAGTGGGCATATAACCCATTGTCCTCATCAGGTTGCCCAGGTCCTTACAGCTGATCAGCCCGTCCTTGTCTTTATCAAACTCATTGAATGCATCACGCAACTCTGCAGAGGTTTAAAGTAAAAAAATCTAATCAAAAAGTGAAATGTGCAAAGTGTACAAATGTAGGTAAAAAACAATGACGTAGTCATAAAAATGAGAAAACAAAAAATATTACCATCAATCTCATCATCAGCCAGCTGTCTTGTCTGCACAAAGAAATAATAATTGCTTAACTTCAGTATAATATGAACATTAAGAAGAAACACGGTGCTTTCTAACGACTTATGAATGCAGCAGTTATCACAATCACACAATCACAATCACAATCACAATCACAATAGCATTTTCCAGCACAAAATCCATCAAAACAATAATTAAATTCCTGCAGCTTATACTTACAATGTTTTTCCCTCCCCGCAAGAAAATACACGCTGCCCCCAAGCTCATTTCTGCAAGAGGAAATACAGATGTACTTTTATGAAGTGTCAGGAAATCACTGACACACGATGTAGAGCTTGGTGGGTTTTGCTATGAAAACACTACTGCTGAAAAAAAGCTCTATTCACACAATAATTAGTCCAATAAACTCTCGCAATATTATAAACATGTCATTTATATATACTGTTATAATTTCTTAAAAACTTTACAGGTTATTGACATCTTCTAAATAAAAAGGTTTTAAAGAGATGTTACCTTCCTCAGATGAATTCGTTTGTCAGCCAAACGCATCACACATAAGCTCTCTGGAGCTGAGGACCTGCAGCTGACCTGTGCAGTGCAAAAACTACCCTGCCTTCCTCCTCTTGCTTAGTCTTCTCAGTGTGAGCGCTGTCTCTGATTAACCGCAACAGCTTGTGCCTCTCAGTGTGTCGCGACCCTTTGTGCCCAGACTGCCAGGATGCTTGGAAATTGTATGAGGGTGTGTTTGGATGCATCCAGACTTGTGGGGCGGAGTCAGCGGTGTGACCGGAGGAAAGCAGGATCAGGGATGAAAGAGATGATGCCCTGGTTTCCTGCTGAGTGGTGACATCACAAACTTTACTGCTATCTGAGCCCAGAGCCGACCGAAAATATGCGATATGATGAAGTCAGCTAAGAGGTGCTTTTCTATGCATTGAAGTAATTACAGTGTCCTTCTCCTACTCACTCATGTTTTATGTAGGAGATGCAACATGAGCCTATCATTGTGAATAACTGTTTCAAGTGCAGTATAAAAGAACCAGGGCTATCACTCACATCACCACTTTATAGCCGTTTATTTGTCAGATACTCATAATTAATGATTTATTATTAGTTTAAAAATTTGATGAACCTGAAGTAACATCTACAATTTGCTTTTCTGAGTTGAAAAATGCTGGTGACAAATCTACGTTTGAAATCAGCAAAAGTTTCATTTTTAATCAGAACAGTTTGTTCAACTGATTAATAAAGAGGCTCAGAAATACAAAGCACCAAACTTTTTTCATTAATTTCTATTTTAAATGCTTCTCAAGTTTTTATATTTGCATATCTATTTATTTATTTATTAGTTGGTTTATTTTGCTTATTGCCCTTTTCTGTGTGTTTAACTGTCACAGTGGTCTCTCACCTCTGTGTGAATAACAGGCTCATAAAAACACCACATAATAATGTAGTAATCTCTTTTAATTTGTAATCATTTCAGAATCTAAAGTATTTCTTAAAATTCCTGTAACACTTTAAATGTTTTACATTTAACAGGATTTTGCTTTTCAGTGTTCTTAGTGTAACTTTGGGGGAAATGTCATAATTGAAACAGAACTACAAACATGTCTTTGGACAAACTGATATCTGAAAGTAAAAAAAAAGTTATATACTGCAAAATCTTCTCATCAGGACACTAACAGGTAATTTATATGAAGTTAGCAGCAAAAGTCAGTGTTCATCAAAGACTACAAATAAAGTTACATGTTTATGATCATTTATTGTTTCTGGATTGTGTGGCTTTATTTATATTTTGTGCTGCAGAACACGTGACAGTAACACAATAAAAGAATAGATGGTCATTTGGCTCATCGCTCTGTTGTTCCAGCCCTGATTATTTTCAAAGACATCAGAGTGAAACAGATTTTTGAAGTATTAAAGAGTCACAGGCTGATTACAGCTATTATCCCACTGTGTGATAATCTGCACGACTATTTGTTACATTTGAATGAAGAAAGGGATTTACGGCTGTGTTTGAGGTTAATAGTCAACACAGAGGTTTAAAATAGCATTTTATTTTATGTTCATTTTATGTGTGTGTGTGTGTGTGTGTGTGTGTGTCTTCATTTTTTGCCAGTTTGACAGGCAGAGTTTTTACATCACATGCACATCCTGATACAACCCCAAACGGATTTGTGTGTCCTTCTGGGATTGAACCAGAGATCTTTTCTTTGTTAGGGAAATGTGAAAACCAGTTAACTGTAAAGCCTAGTATAGAGGCTTTTCTTTAAATTATAAAATGCCTCTGTCAGTGCGCCCCAGGGCAGCTGTGGCTACAATGTAGCTTGCCATCACCAGTGTGTGAATGTGTGTGTGAATGACTGAATGTAGTGTAAAGCACTTTGGGGTCCTTAGGGACTGAGTAAAGTGTTATACAAATGCAGGCCATTTACCATTTAAATTATAAGTTTAGTTATGTGCAGATCTCATAACAACATCATTCGTTTCTTTTTGCTTTTCTTTGTTCTTTTATTGTTGAAGAAATCTGTTTTTCCCTGTCAATCACAAGATACTCCAACAACAAAGTATATCCTGCTTCATCCTCCGTTTAACAGGGACCAACATTTACTAAATAAATATCACGTTGTGTTCATGAACACCAACCCCAACCGAGGTCATAAGCCCATCAGGAAAAAATCTGCTTTTATTACAAACAATATGCTTGAAATGTGTTTAGCACATTAAACACACTGTAATTAGCAGTAAAGCTACACTGCTATTGCAGGTTTAATATTCTTAAACTTACAATAATATTTGTTATGCTGCAAAAGAAAATCACAAATACTGTAAAACAGAAAAATACACTGTATAAGCAAAGCTGAGTAATGGGCTGCCAGAGTTACTGCTGCTGCTCAGAGCATTTTCCTCTGTGTTGAACTTGCTTCACATGTCCCATAAATGACTTTAATTGTGATTTAACAGTGTTCACGACATCTTCAGGTTGCGTGTGGGGAGAATTTTGCTTCTTGTTCTTCTTTTTTTTTAAATAGAATATTAAATTCCACATATGAGTAATTTGTATAATCTACATCAGGTATGTTTTTTTCCAATTTACTTTGGTTCTTCGGGGGAAGAAAAATCACACTGATTATATAGAAGTCTCAAGAACCCACAAAACCTTGTGTATCAAACATGATACACTAGCTTTAATGGTTAAAATGTCACCATAAGTGACAAATATGGCTGGGTAGTTTGTTTGCTGAAGCTCTTTATCTAAACAGCTTGGGGGGGTGGGGGGGGAGTGTTCCACAAAAACCATGTAAATGTTTAGTCTGATATTTTTAGATGAGCTGAAACACTAAACGGACTCGGTGGCGTGTGTGTCCTCTTCTCCTGACCGTTTTCTCTTTGCATGCCTTCCTGTTATGTAAATTTACCAGAAATCTGTTTGCATAAGAAGCATAATCTGCTGGGCAATGCAACAGGAACCAATAATGATTTATCATTCTTTTTTTACCCTCTCCTCTGTCGTTGCAGTGGTGGGCCAGCTGAGGGGTTATGCAAGATCACATCCACGGCTGCTGAAAGATGTCTGTGGAGGGCAGGAGGTATATGGGCGAAGAGAGCCTGATTTAGAAAAAACTATAGAAGGGGGGGAAACTTCACATTAGCTGTAGGCTGATGAAAAATATGTTATTTGATTAATAAGTAGACCAAGACATTTGTAATAGCAATGGCAATTTTATTTGTATATTACATTTCATTACATGAAACTCAATGTGCTCAACAAAGGATAACATAAAAACCAGAGCAGGTTGACGATGCCTAAAGGCAGTAAAAACAGCAAAAACTAAATTGTGAATCCTACAAGTGTGACTTCCTCAGCTGTGTTAGCCTTTCATAAGAAAGTTCTTTGTTGGTGTTACAGCCTGACCAGCCTCTGAGAATCATAACATACATAAAGGTTGAGGGGAAAATATTTCTGTGTGTGTGTGTGTGTGTGTGTGTGTGTGTACCATCTGAAAATGCACAACACAGATTATACTGAGTGGATTAAGACAGCAAATGCCGTGCCAAACAAGCCATATGTGTGATTGCGATGACGTGTCGCTGCGTGCAGACATCATCTGAAATCAAATCAGGTTGAATGAAGGAAAACAACAAAATCCATTTAGGTGAAAAGGGATTTGGGGGGGGGGGAAAATCCCATTTAATAGTCGCTGAATAAGCTCTACCCCTACACACTGGTAACAAATACCTGAAACATTGTAGCCCACGTACTGGTCTTGATTTTAAATGATGGCTGACTGATGCTGGTAGGTCACTGCTAGACATGTCTGTCGGTCTGTTAGGTTATGCAACAGCATCACTATATAGCATTTTTAATTCTCAGTAAGGATTATATAGTAGTTTTGGAAAAATCCCGCAATCTCATCACGCTATAGCATCAGAATTTCTCCGTAAAGATTGCATAATGATCTGTCATCCCAAATGCTGGCCACTATGATAAGGAAAGAATAAACAACTTTATTAATATGCACTGAGCTAAGCTTTAAATACTTACATCACTATGTATGATGTAATTATTAAGAGAGCTTAATTATTGTTATCTGAATCAAATCCTCTCATTTATTTATTATTTTTTCTCACCTTCACAAAGGAGCATATCGAACAGGACACGCAATCCACTGTGTAATCTATTTATGAGGCTGGCCTGCAGATGTTTAAGGACATAATGTAGGCCAATATAAAAACACATGCACCAAAGGTGTTTTCTCGTACTTGCTGTGTCTGTTTTAGGCAATGCTGACAATCAGTCAGCATGAGTTGATGGTTGATTTATAGCAACAGTGGACTTTTATGTGATTTTGCAATGCATTTTTTCAGAAATAACATTTTCTGGACGCAGATGATTATTTGTGTTATTACAAATCATTAATACATGCCAATATTAAAACATTTTATCTATATTTGTAAGACCAACTTTACAAAATTGGTCTTACATAGGTTTTTATTTGGTTTAGATCTAAAAACCAAACTCTGGAGACACATTGCCTCAAACGGCATAAACTGTTGAGCAAATTAGTCTCATTTCAGATTGGTTTAGCAGAAGAAACCCTACATATAATATGAACTTTTATCTTTAGATTTCTACAGTGTCTGTCTGATTAATAAAGATTTCATTCATTCATTCGTTTGTTTTGTATCCCATATGGTACACGTGCTGTTTACAGGATGACTGCAGAAAGATTAGCATTAAAACAACTGAAATTACTACTGAAACTACTGAAAAAGTCCAAGTAGTTTAAGAAGGGAAAACTTACCAAACTCTCACAGTTAAATTGCATACAATGAATGTTGAGAGTCTATTATCAATGGGATAGGCCCCAGAGCCCTTGCAATCCTGATTTAAAGTAAGTGAAAGGAGATGGATAGATGGATAGATGGATGGATGGATGGATGGATGGATGGAGTTCAGAATAGTTACTACAATGCAAACAGTACTTTGAAGCAATTTTACTTCCAGTCTTAAAGATATAACTTGATTTTATTTAGTCTTGTTTTTGTTTTTTTGTTGTGGGACATTACTAAGAGATTTTTATACCGCTTGATGCGTTGTGGAATCATTTAGTCCTCTAGAATCAGTAGAGGAGGATGTTAGCCGAAGCTAATGTCCATTACGAACAAGACATCTCACCCCTGTATGAGCATGTGGAGGCCATGAGTGGCTCCTTCAGCAGTAGACGGTTACAGCCACTGTGTAGGACCAAGTACCAACACAGGTCCTTCGTCCTGGAAGCAATCCGACTGTTCAATATGCACATAAATACCTGAGAAATCACTCACACTGCACTTTATGTACATATAATTACTGTGACATGTCTTTTAGTGTATATATTAGCCTATATTTTATTTTTGCTTTATTTTATTTTGTCTTTTATTTACTTCTGCGTTTTTAGCGGTTTTAGCATTTTTGCGCCTTATTTTTTTCATTGTTTTCTAATATATCCCCAATTCTCTTGTTATTTCTGACCGTTTTGCGGCCGTAGCAAGTGAATTACCCCAGTGTAGATTAATAAAGTCCCTTTCTATCTGTCTAATTCTGAGATTCCTAATCTGAAATTTTGAGATAGCTGTCCTAAATTTAAATTATTTAAATTATGGTCATAGTTTTGTTTTGTTGTTGTTTTATTTATTTTGACTGAAATACGCTTCCACATTAGTTAACTATACGAACCCTGATAAATAATGCGAAGCTGCTCTTACCAGTTCAGTTATGTTTTTGCGAACCTCCTCGGCCACGTGAGGATACTATTTACACCTCACGTGTTCGTTTGAAAGGCGTCGAAGAAGAGCAACTTCCGTTTTCCGCTCGGCTCCCGCCCCGCTCCGCCATCATTAAGTCCTGAACAAAAACGGATGAGAGTCGAGCAAAATGGGGATAACACGAACTGTTGATGAAATCCGCCGACAGCATTATCGTAATGACAGTGCACAGTGCTGAGCGGAGCGGAGCTGTCCATTTGAATGCACCAGCCTCCCACTGAAAGCGTCCCCGGCAGCTCCTGGCGTTGCGTTATTTAGTTAGCGCTGGTGCTAACAGCAGCCAGAGCTAGCCGCTGATTTTCTCTGGACGACGACGCTGCTGCTGCTAGGTTAGCTGGCAGGCGTCGGTCTAGCTAGCTGTCACTTAAACTGACTGCCACTTGACTCATGTCAAGTCGCACACGCCTGCTAGCTGTCCAATTGACTGGGGGCATCAGGATGGAGAGGGGTTTAAGTAAAAGCATCGACAGGCAGAATGTGGTTTATTGGTGTTGAATAGACACCAGCACCGAGGAAAGAGGAGTGAAGACCACTATTTTCCAGCCAGGCCGGTTAGCTAGCTTCAGAGCTAGCTACAGTGGATCCCAAAAGCCACGGTAAGACGTGCTATAAATCATTCAACATGCGGGGCTGTGAGCGCATCCCACCCCGTTTGCAGGGGAGACACCGGCTAGCATGATTAGCTGCCTGATTTTCAGATCTTGGGGAGTTTGACATTGACGTGGAAGCTTGTTGTTGGCCTGCACCTTGAACATTCTTGAGTTGTTGTCAAGCTGCTGTTGAATACATGTGGATTTCTATACAGAGCAGGAGCGTGGGTAGCCTAATTGAGCAGCCGAGTGAAAAAAGCCGTCTAGCTCGCTCAGCTGATGCTGATGGCAAGCACATATATGGATAATTGCTTATGTGCCTGACCAGTCAAACACAGTAGACATGTTTTGCACAATAGGTCTGTGCTTCTCTGATGTTGTAAAATGCATGTATGTTAAAGAGAGAATCATTGGTGAAACCATGTAATTGTGGCAGACGTTGTGGTGTTAACGTGACATGGATGGTTTAGTTAAAATGATTACAAGCTTCCTTTTGCCTTAGTTACAGTCGTCAGAGAACTTCCCATTTTTAAAGGGAACCTAATGCTTCCCGTTTGTCAGAATCGAAATGGCCAAGTGAGTCTTGGTATTTTCATGTTCAAGGGTTTGGGAAAAACTTGAGCTTGATTGGTGACTGTGAACTTAAAAAATTGCAAAAGCTGCCAATGCCCATTTATCAAGGGTTTAACCTTTGATAAAATCTTAATGACTCATGATGACCCAACTTGTTCCAAGCTGCTAACTTTGACACACTGTGCATCACACAGGGAGAAGTTGTTATCTGCACTGCAGCTACACAAAAACATTCACCATTGTAATGTGCATGTGAGTGTATCATCAGTTGGCTTTTCCAATCTTTTTCCTTTGGTAAAGATATAACAGCTATATTGATTCAGCTTTTCCAAAAAATATCTTTTCCATAACCACACTTGGGGGGGGGGGGAGATTGGTTCACATATAAGAATGCGTTGATTTTGACCTTCAGAAAACATCTGATGGTTCTTGCTAGAATTCAGAGACAGACATCACGTTTCATCTTTGTTATTTCAAGGTTTATAGTCTAATATCAGCTCTCTCAGTAGGACATACTAAAAACTGAGGAGTAATTGCTCGCATATTTAAACGTGGTCTTCCGCACTCATTTAGCCATATCATTATGTTTGCTCATGATAGCTCTCCAAAACATAGTGGTTACATGTTGTTTCACTTAAAACTGGTAAATTTTGTCATGTTGTTCCCACACAGGAAGCAAAACATGGGGCTGCTAAACTGGTTGGCAGTTTTTATGTGGAATTTGGCCTGATGTTGTCTGGTGGTTTTCAACATTTCAAAAGCTGTATGGAAAGTCAGACAGGTCCAAGTTAATGCTACAAAATGTAGTCCTCAATTTGCTTGTTGGTCACAGTTCATTAGGAAGAAAGATAGAAACGGCTTAGGGGGGGAAAGAGATCCTGTCAATATATTGCAGTTGGTCTTTTGAAGTTCTTGGCTGTTGGTATCGGCCTCAGAAATCCAGTCTCACTGATGCTCTGCAATGCACTACACAGTCAGTTTGATGCCTGCTTCTCCTTATAATCATATGAACTTTAATTCATGTATTTCTATAAGGCCTATCAGAATACTGTGCAAGTGTGTACAAATGCAAATCAAACCAAGTGTGAGTCACTATCTTAACATTTTGATAGGGAAAAAAAAGCAATCCAGCCCACCTGGTTGTTCAACCTCACCCGTCTGTGTTTTGTTCTTCAGTTTTAACAGAAGCACACCTTTTATCTTGTCGCAGTTGCTGTGTGGTTTTGTGCGCGGGCTGCTGAAGGACCAATGACAACATCATTGTATGAGAGCAGTCTTTTGTTCAGCATTGAGAAAGAAAATGATATGAAATAGTCTTGTTTTTTTGGTTTTTTTTTTTTTAAATCATAGTTTCATGTGTCAGGGAGATTAAAGAAGCCATTAAAGAAAGAATAGCTCGAGGAAAAAGATGTTGCATCTACCATTTTAAGATCATTTTGGATCTTTAAAATGGATTATGTGCTTCAAAAATGGTGTTTGTTTCCCTGTACTGAAGCTAAAGCCGTATATTCTGTGTTTGGTGAAAATATAGCAATTAAAAAAATGTATATCTTATTGCAGTGTTAGAAAGCTGCTTTCAGCTTCTCCCTTATTCACATGGTGACCGCCACAGTGGCTACCTCCACTTCTTTGATTAGGCGATCCCAAATTGATTTCTCTCTCTTCCTGGGATCGAACCAGAGATCTTTTGCTTGTTAGACAGATGTATAAAACACTTCATTATGTGTCACAAATTTCAGTGTTAAACAAAAAAAAAAGTCATACAGTGGTAAGTGTGGCCAGCCATGTTCACCCTAAATATAGAGACAGACAGTAGCCTCAGTAGCCTGTAGAGCCACCTTTGGCAGCAATAACTTGAAGTAATGGTTTTATGTATGACTTTATCAGTCTCTCACATGATTGTGGAGAAATTCTTGCCCACACGTTGCTGCTGTGCTTGGGATCACTGTCTTGTTGCATGACTTAATGTCAGCCAAGCTTTAGCGGTCAGACAGATGGTCTCACATTTGACTCTAGAATACTTTGGTATACAGAGGAGTGCATGGTTGACTCATTGACTGCAGTGTGCCCAGATCCTGTGCAAAACAAGCCCATATCATCACACCTCCTCAACCGCGCTTTATCGTCGATATGAGGTGTTAGTGCTGATATGCCGCCTGGTTTTCTCCTCACGTCGCAAAACATCTCCACTTTGGTCCCGTCTGTCTAAAGCACATTGCTCCAGAAGTCTTGTGGTTTGTTCACATGCTGCTTTGAAAGCTATGAGCTTCTTTTTAGAGAGAGGAAGCTTTCTCCTGCCAACTCTTCCAAACAAGCCAATGTGCTGTCATGAACTTTAACATTTAAAATGCTAACTGGGGCCTGTAGAGTTCTTGTTTTTGTTCTTCTGAACATTTAATGGTCTGATCTTGAATTTGTTGGGACATTCCCTGCTGGGAAGATTGTGGCATTGTGTTAACACACATCTGAATGCTCCAGACCAGCAAACTGTCAAAACTTCTGCTTTTTTAGAGTGCATTTAATCGGTGGCTGCTGAGTCCGATGAGCTCTTTTCACATATATGCACATTGATGAGCCACAAGATTAAAACCATAATAGTCACTTTTGTGCCACCAAGAAATAAAAGATCCCACCTGTCATGACATGATCAAGGGGGCGTCTTTGGTGTGGCAGCAGATCCTTTGAGTCCTGGTGGTTACAGGATGGGGCCTTCACGTGAATATGTTATAGGATCAGCATTGGTTAATCAGTATATGAGGGTTTCTACTCTACTTTATAAGTATAAACCAAAGTGGGTTGCTCCTAAGAAGCAGAACAGCAAATAATGGATGGATCAGCAGAGCAGTGTGTTGGTCACATTGGTGGGAAAGTTGGCGCATCCTCATGTGAAGTGAAAAATATCTTTCAGTTGATGTTTGTTTTTGTTTTTTTGTCTGTGTTTTTTTTCCATTTGTGTGTCCACTACAGAAGACATTAACAAATAGGCCGGGTCTCAGGAGGCTATGATTGCATGATGATGGATTGCAATTGAATATTGCTGTTCTCGCTGGCCTGCAACTGAAAAACTAGTATTTTACAATGTATAATTTAATGCTAGTTAACTGTTGGATCTAAGATGTTACACAGCCACACATTAGTAGCCAGGACTGCAGCTCTGGCAGACGGCTTGACTCCTCTCTGTGTGATGGGAAGTTGTGAACAAGAAGTGTGGATGGCAGCGCTGCTTAGCCGGTGCAGTTCTGCAGTATTGTGATCGCGAGAAAAAGGATGTATGTAGGTTGTGTCACAGTAAACTAGTATTTAAGAGCTGTGCTGTAGCAATGCAAAAGCACATTCTGTTCAAGTGTGTGGACGTTACCCCACGAGGAGAGAAAGCTAACACTGCTTATGTTAGCCACACGTCTATGTGTGCAGTGTTCTGCTCAGTGCAGCGTGCCACATATTTTAGAAACATTAAAAAGATGTTCCAGATCTTCAAGAAATTGATCAGTATTGTTGCCAGGACCATCCTTTGATATAGTGCTGCATCTCTGCAAGCCTCATACGTACATTACAAGACAGTCTTCTGCAATACATGACAGTATATGTGTGGGAGAAGAAGAAAAAGCATTAATAAGGTTTAAAAAACATATTTCATAAGACTGATATAAAATTGTAGATGATATGTAAGAGAAACTGTATTTCCTTAAAAAAAGAAAGAAAAGAAATAACATGGGTGTAAGCCCAGATTTGTGCTTTGTACTGCTTTCCCCTTTCATCTTTGGTTGAGAACAATATATTTTTTAAATGGCATGAGTGACATCAGTGTCAACAATTTCCACCACAGAGATCTAAGTGTGTCGACTTCATGTGACAGACTAGATCGTGTTTCCGAGGCAACTCTTGCTTTCAGCACAAATGTTGGTATCCTTTCCAAATAACAGATGCTCACCCAGTGTGTCTCTTCCACGCTCACCAGGCGCTGGCCATGCCGTCGAGTGTGCGGGCCGGGAGCCTGAAGGACCCGGAGGTGGCTGAGCTCTTCTCGAGGGAGGATCCCGAGAAGTTCTTCACGGACCTGAGGGAGATCGGCCATGGGAGCTTCGGAGCAGTGTACTTTGTAAGTTAGTTTTCTTAGGGTTTGGCTCTTTAATAGAAATGTGATAGAGTGCACACAAGAGCCCTTAAGTGTGCTTTCCCCTGAGTGCAGGCTTAAACGTGAAGGCCTGTTACTTAATATGATTTCAGATACTTGTGTTCATTTATCGGTTTGAATTGTGTGCTTGATCTTTGTCAGCTCTGCAACAGAGTTGTAGGTGTGTAGTTATGTTCGTTTGAATTCAGTAGTAGGAAAATGTTCAGGTATGTGGTTTTAACATGCAGCTTACCTGAAGGCATATAAACATGGGGACAGGCTACGGACAAATAACGTTGACTGACTACGCTGAAAATCGGTTCTTGAATTCTGGAGTTTGGATGATATTTTAGTTTTCAGTCACACACTGACTCAGTCATCTGGCAAACTTTAAAAAGTGCTCTGCTTGTTATAAATTTAAGACTGCAGTCTCTGAGTAGTTAGCACGGTGTTCATAATGTTGTATACAGCTGTTCTTCACTGAATTTATATAATGTAAGCATGAGAATGCAGGTGAAATGAAAATCATTACCTTTGTGTATATATATTATTGTCTTATTAATGTCTAATTATTTCTCTGGCTTTGTTTTTCTTCTTATGTAAGTTGATCAGTGTTTTGGCACCATAGACAACAGTGTAGGCTCAGTTCTTCCTGCATATAAACCATTTCAGCGCCCACCTGAGAGGTTATTACTTCCCTCATAGGAAGTTACTATAAATAACAGATCTTACTAAGTAAGGTAATATGACTCATTACCTAAACTACATGCAGGCCAGTCGTGCTTATGTGCATAGGTGCATTTTAAACAACAAAAACCTTGACAGGCAAAATTTTCATAGCGTAATTAAAAAATTCTTTCATACTTTGATTTTTGCATTGTTTTTTGGGGGGATTTCACTTGGTTCAAATGTAATTACTGCTATAAATCTTGCTGAAGTCGGCGTGATTGATGCTAAGAAAAGCTAAGCGCAGCAAAGAAGAATAGCTGACAGATGGTGGTACTTCCATTAAGAGCACAAGCTGGATAAACCTGTCGACTGAAGATGAAAGGTGGCGGGTCAGAGAAGGAAAAAGTAAAAACACAGTGCGAGTCAGGGAAGGAGAACAACTTTTCAGAGCAGGATAAAAGTCCCTGTTTAATGAAGGGTGAAAAGCAGCCAGTCGTGGATGAAGGGATGATAGGAGGGCAGAGGAGAAGAGGGAAGGAAGCTCTGCAGAAATGCTCGTTTTATGTAATGGCCATTTCTTTGTTGTATTTAATGTGAGGAGCATCGATGGATGTGTCTCAAGTGCTTTGTGGAATAAATGCTGCACTGATGCTCTCAGCCAGTTTTAAGCGTTTGAGTTTTGCTTGCAATTAACTTTGTGTGGAGGGGAAAGAAAACAAGGCGAAGGCGTCTGTGCTATTTAAAGAAATGGTGACAAAGATGGTTCGAGCAGCATCCAAAGCTTCAAAAAATTTACTGCATGTTGTCCTTAAATTTTCCCCACTAGGCCCACGACATCCGCACAAATGAGGTGGTGGCCATCAAGAAGATGTCCTATAGTGGCAAACAGTCCAATGAGGTAAGACCTGGCGACTCTCTAATGGCTGATCTGCTGCAGATGTAATATCTAATGGATAGAGTGATGAAGGCTCTGCTCGTATCCTAGAAATGGCAGGATATCATCAAGGAAGTGAAGTTCCTCCAGAAACTGCGCCACCCCAACACTGTGGAGTACCGTGGCTGCTACCTGAGAGAGCACACAGCCTGGGTGAGTGTGTGCAAAAGCTGTGCACTCATCAGTGTTGTGTTAATCAAATGAATGATTTTAAAAGTGACTTGCTTAGGAGGTTGTTAAAGATGTTAACATTCCCAGTACCACACATTTAGAAAATAAAACAAAGAATATAGTTGGGGATATTTCAGCATCCACTTTAAACACATTTCTTTTTTATGCACATATTTGGGCCACCGACGGCCTGTAAAAATACACCCAGAACTTTGTCCCCTCTGCAGCATTCCTGTGTTCATTTTCACTATATTTGAAAAATGTCAAAGATGAGTAAAAGCAGTGCTGTGATTGATAGATAAATACTCAGTTTACCGTTTTATTTTTATTTCAACTTGAGATAATAACAACCATCAAATTTGGTTCTCTCGCCCCTCGACTTACTCTCCCCCCCTTAGCTCCGTCTTTCACATTCTCTCTCTCTCTCGGTCAGGAAGAGAACAGCAGACCCTGCCGTGTGTTTCAGTGTGAATAAAAACATGAAACGTTGACCATTTGTTCTAATATTGAAACTGGTTTCTGGTACTTCCTCCTTTTTTCTGTGCAGCTTGAGGCAAGTTGCAGTTGCCACAGAGTCTGTTTGTTTCACCGTGACTGCAGGAATTAAATATAGTCTCTGGTTTCTGCAGCCAAAATGCAGTTTTTCGTTCCAGATATCCTCAAAAGGCTCTCAGTCCCCGGAGAAAGTTGATGTGGCAAAAAACAAAAAAGCTCTAAAAATGACATCATTGTAATTAACTGGTGTGTTTTGTGTTTTTTAACAAAACATATTAGTGCATTTCAGAAAATTAGAACGAAGTGAAAGTTTTGGGTTTTTGTTTTTTTTACATATTCATCCAAAAATTAAAGTATTAAAAGCCTTTTTTGTGTGAGTATGCCTTGTAGTGCATGGAAATGAGCAGCCCTTGTAATAAAACTACAATATTTTAGTATATTAGTGTTTGAAGAGTGGCAATTGAGTGCGTCTCTCTATATAGTTGAATACATGTATAGAGACGACTGGACTGTTCTCCAGATGATCTCTGATACACTCCACAAGGAGGGGAAGCCACAGGATGTTGTTGCTGAAAGTCTGGCTGTTTGCAGAGTGCTCGATCACAGCATATTAATGGAATTGCTGCAGCCTCGATGGTATTGTCAAGAAAATCAATTCAAGAACTTGGGCGACTTTACAAAGAGTGGACTGAGGCTGGTGTCAGTACGTCTCCAGGAAAGCAGCTACAACTTTAGCATTCCTAATATCGAGTCACTCCTGAACCGAAGACGACATCAAAAAGAACTGGACAGCTGCTCAGTGCTTCTCTTTCCACATAAAAGTAAAATTTAAGGTCCTAAAGACTAGAGGAAGAGTAGAGAGGCACAAAATCCAGGATGCTTGAAGTCCAGTGTAAAGTTTCTGCAGTGCCATGTCATCTCCTCGTGTTGGTGTCAGTTGATCCACTGTGTTATCAAGTCTACAGTCAACAAAGCCACCCACCTGGAAATTTGGAGCACTTTGTGCTTTAATCTGCTGACAAACTTTATGGAGAGAGATGGTGATTTCCTTTTCCAGCAGGATTTAGCCCCTGCTCGCAGTACGGAAACTACTAGCAAATGGTTTGCTGGCCACAGTATTGCTGTGCCTCATTGACCAGCCAGCTCATCTGACCTGAACCCCAGAGTGTCTGTGTTGTTATTGTCAAAATGAAGATGAGAAACACAGGACCCAAAAATACAGACAGAATGAAAGCAGCTATCAGAGCAGCCTGGGCTTCCTGTACACCATGCTGCATTAATGCAGTGATTCATGGTAACGGAGCTCCAACCACGTATAAAAATATTCTGTATGTCTGATTTTCACAAGGTATAAGTCATGATCATCAAAATTAAAACAAAAAAGGCTTAAAATGTTTCACTTTTAAGGTGTGCTGTTATCTATAGACACCTAAATAATGTTAGATTATGCGGGATGGTTAGCTTTTACATCTCATGCATACTTTGGCTCTCAGAGCTCCATTGTGAGGTGGACATGAGAACACTTTCCCGGACTCCACCTTAGTGTGACAGCAGTGTTAAAACTTTGATAAATGGGTCGAAGTCTCTGGTACAAAAAAAGCTCTTTCCGCCTAGGTCAAGTGTGACAACGTTTTTAACACCAAGTGTACTCTTGGTTTAACACTCCCCGTCTCTCTTCTAGCTGGTGATGGAGTACTGCTTGGGTTCAGCTTCTGACCTTTTAGAAGGTAAGTAAGACAAATTAGTAATGACAAAACCATGTTTTACCCGTTTGAGTTTACGTTCACATAAACAATGTCTGATATTCCCAAATCTCTCTCTTCACTCAGTCCACAAGAAACCGCTGCAGGAAGTGGAGATAGCTGCCATAACCCATGGTGCATTGCAGGGATTGGTGTATCTTCACTCTCACAACATGATTCACAGGTAACCCCTATTCATTTCTCACTTATCTGGATCTATTCTGCTCTCCTCCCCCACACTTCTGACAAGAGACTAAACAAATAGAGGGGAGAAAGCACAAACTGTGCTGCCTGAGATAAGCTTATGCAATGGTGCTTGTGCTTACACACTGTGCATCATGCTGCTCCCCAGCCTCCAACGATGCATTTTCTCTCAAACTGTTTTGTCTCCGTCGTGTTTTTCCTGACCCGTCATTTCCTCCTGTCTGATCGTTTCTCTCTCAGGGATGTGAAGGCCGGAAACATCTTGTTGACAGAGCCAGGTCAGGTCAAACTGGGAGACTTTGGCTCAGCCTCTATTGTCGCTCCAGCCAACTCCTTCGTGGGAACACCTTACTGGTAAAACATCAAACCAGTGTCTCACTTGCCTACTCATTGTGGATTCTCAAAGAAGCCTCAAAAACTAACCAAAATCGTGCGTATCAAATATGATACACTAGGCTTTAAGGGGTTAAAACATACCTGTGATGTTTTGCCGTATTTTCCTTGCCTTTCTATTCTGTTACAATCATAGAAGCTCATGTTAAAGTTCAAATACTGAGGTCAGTGTATGTATAAGTAATCTCAGGCTCTGAGCTCTCCATTTCACTCTGTTTTTTTTTTCTACTCCTAGCTTTGTGTGATGTCAAAGAAAGAGGATATCCCTAAGACGATGATGTCATGTCTGTGCAGGCGAAATGAGCTTTTCAGACTGTTAGCATGGCTGTTATGTGGCGTCTATTTTGTCCACTGAGTGTAAAGACGAGCGAGAAGCAGCAGCACTCTTAAATGAGCTTGTTTGCACATTGTAGATGTTTCGTACATGTAAATATAGTCGAAATCTTTAAATGTTGTCATTAACTTGCATGTGTTGATTTTTAGTTGTGCAGTTGTAAAATCAGATAGATTTTCCTCCGATCTTGACAATTTATTATTCATTAATATCTAGCGTACTGCTGGTGTCTAGATAAAGTGTAGTCTCTAATCATGCGGATGACGTGCTTTAATTTGCATTGAACCTAAGATAGCTGACTAAACGCTGCCGTCTCTGCTTCATTTATGCTCACATTT